CAGGAGTCCCGCAAGATCCAGTTCCAGGGGAACCTGCAGGAGCTGTGCAGCGCCCGGGGCCGCCTGGCCAGCCCCCAGGGCTCGCCGGCCGCTGAGACCAACCAGGCCACTCTGCGGAGCTCGGCCCCCTCCCTGCACGCCCGTCTGCTGGCCCTGCTGGCCCTGCCGCTGCTGCTGGCCCGGCTGTAGCCCTGCTGGCCCGCGGGGTGCCCAGGTGATGCCGGGTCGGTTCCCCCGGCTGCTGGCCCGTCCCCGCCATGCCCACCTCCCTCCGGGCATCCCTCGCGGGGCACGGTCCTCTCCCGCAGCACTTCAGATGGATTTATATTTATATTAAAAGACACTTTTACATTTCTCATGTCTCTCTGCCATGGGATGCCCCTTGAGCCCCTGCCAAGCCCCGTGCTTGCTCTGGGGAGTGGAGAGGAGATGCTCCCTGCACCAGTGCCCAAGAAAGGTCAGTGGGAGGGTCTGTGACTCCGTTCCCACAGTGTATTGCCCATGGCCATGCCAGGCAGTCCATGGGACCATGGACAGCCCCAGGAGGGGGCGATTCCCACTACCCTGGTGCTCCCTGACCCCTGCTTTTCAGGGCTGGCATAGCAGATACTCCCTTTAGAGATGGGTCAAATGTTTTGTTCGTTTTCAAGGGCACCTTAGGAAAACACAGGGTGCAGATTTCTTTGTCTTTTTGGCAGCAAATAGCTTGTCCTCTGATGGGCACCTCCAGTGACATTTTCTGTTTTCCACCCCTTTTATTCTGGCCTTGCTGTATTTATGGTTATGAAGAAAACTATGGTTCACAGGGAAGAGAGAGTTTTTGGGATTTTTTTTTAACCAAGATGATGGAGGTAAAAAAGCTAGGCAACTGGAAATCTCATCCAGGTTTACATGGAACTTGTTGAAGTTTAACCAAGATGATTTGTGGGTGTTGCACTTGGCTAAACTTGTATCTCATCAGTGGAAAATGCTCTAGTTCCCATTCCTGTGGCTGTTATGCTGAAAACTTATGATATTTTTCCCAGCTACTAAAGCCCAGTGTGCAAACCAGCTCCCCAAGGCCTGGGCTGGCGAGGCATCCTCCCCACTCTCCTGGGCACAGCCACCACTCCCCACCCACTGCCTAAAGGGCCACTGGAATTGCATATGGGCCACCCCAGCTGTGGTGTGGCTCATTGCTGGTGTGGCCCCAGGCCCCAGCAGCAGTGGTGGGTAAATCTGGTTGGCATGTGGGAAACCATCCCACTTGGGACAGGCAACAAAATCCTCTGGCCAACAACACAAATGCCACTGCTCTGAGGATTGTTCCAGGCTCAGCGGAGAGCAGGAGCCATGATCTCCTGTGTGCAGTGGGTAGCAAGTTGCTGCTGTTTCTATGATTTCCTGACTTTAAGGGTGTCCCGAAAACATTCCAGCAGCTGGGCACATGGTTTTGGCCCAGGGAAACCTTTGCACACTCTCCTGTGGCAGAAAACCTTCAGTGTGTGAGCAAGGAGCTCAGTAGTCACTGTCCTCATTGAGCCAGGGAAAAATATTGCTTGTTTCATCATAAAACCTGTTCCTGCAAAGTCTGGTAACTTAAACATGTGATTGGTAACCCCTGGGATGTCACCCTGGCTGTCCCAGTCCTCTGCCAGGCTCTCGGTCAGGGAAACGCTAAAAGGATTGCTGGTTCATCGCGTGGGGCTCAGCGGTTGCTGCTGATTCCTCAGCTCTGTGGGGGACACTGTATTTATTTCCCGTTATTCATCTCACTAACCAGCCTGGAGCTGGCTGGGGGGGACACAAAACATCTGGTCTCCCGGCAGCCCTTGGCGGGGGAAGATGCTGATCCCGGGGCCGGTGCCCCATGGGACACGGGGCAGGACACCACCCCAGCTCTCCTCATCCAGCAGCTGCCGCTCTCCGTGTGTAACGCCAGCGCCGGAGGATAATCCTCCGATTCTTTCCTTCCCAGTTCCTGACAATCCTGTGTTTAAGGGTGAATTAGTGCCGGATCCCGGCAGGGTGGCTAAGAGGATAAACGCCGGCCGGGCGCCGGCCTCGCACCGCGCAGCGCCCG